ACAAGGAAGGACTGTAGTGCAGTCCCGCTGGTTTGCAGAGTGGAGACGGAGACCTAAGAAATGACCATCATGACGTGTGGTCTCAAGGACATTTAAAAATATTTCTTTAAACTCACAGGGATCCTTTAACTCCCCACTGATATCTCAAAGTCAAAAGCTAAGAATATCCTCTCGGGCACTTTTTATGATTATAACTACACTTATAATTGACAAGAACAGTAAACAGCAGCTTGACAACTTCCTAGTTGAAACCAAATCAAAATGACCTCTCAAAAACATTTTAGTCATGAATTAGTATGAACCTTTTGTCACAACAAATTGTTCCTTTCTCCTTATTTCAAAACAATTTCTAAAATCACATCTGATTACCATGGTACTGCTATCTTCCAGTTCATTTTATGCACAGAATTAAGGCCCTCATTTTATGTTCTAGAGTTCTAGATTGAAGAGATTATATGGCGTGAAGGAGCTACACAATAGATATTTATCCCACACCCAGTAGTTCTTAGGATTTTTAGTCTTATGAACCCTTTACACTTTAAAAACATCTTTGAAGACCCAAGAGAGCTTTTGATTATATTGCTTATAGCTATTGATATATAATGCATGTGATATCAAAACAGAAATGTTTTAATTATTTATATATTCAATTTTAAATAACAATAACAAATCCATTATATGTTAATATAAATATATATTTTAACCAAAAGCAACATTTTCCAACCAAAAATATTTCGTGTGAAGAGTGGTATTATTGGATATTATTGCAAATTACTATCTGGCTAAAGAGAAGACAGATGGATTCTCACACCGCTTAAAAGTCAGTGTATTGAAATGCATCATTTCAGTTAAAGTATAAGAAATTTTAACCTCACACAGATATGCCATTGGAAAAAAAATTTTTTTTTAATCTTTTGAAAAATTAACTTTGATACTACACAAATGGTCATGATAACAAGTGGTAGTTTCTTAAAGGTGAGTTGAAATGTGGCATCTGAAACCAAATATCAAAAAATTTGTGCTCTTTTATATTTGAATCCGTTCGTCTGTCTTGCACTTGAATAGGTCTTTTACCTATGCATGATTTTGTAGCATATTTGTCCTTTGGAAAAATGTTGGCTCATTGAGTTATGCAGCTCTTTAAAATTTTGACACATTTCTTTACAGAAAATGAAATATCACATTTGTTAGTATTACTACTAATCTCAGCAGAAAAGTCTTTGGGTATTTGGAAGCTGTCAAGCTCACAGTGGTGGATATAAGTTTTCCAAAATTCTAATTTTCAAGTGAAACTTAAAATGTTAATTTGGGCAATAAACACTTTCCTTGAAATGGCAGGCTTACTCCATTCATTTTTGAGAAAATGAATGCCCAATATTGAAATCTAAATTCCACAATTTATCAGTTGATTTTTCAATTAACAATGGTATTTTATGAAAAATTGGGTTATTTGGGACACAACTCAAAGAATTGCACACATGACTTTTCTCAGGACACCATCATACTTAGGATACAGCAGAAGCACTCTGTGGACTCTTCTCCTTGCATCACACAGAATATTAAAAAGATATATACTCCAGAATCAAGATTTAATAAAATAACTAATTTTTACTACTTTATAAAGGGCAGTCTTAAGTAACACTGACTTTTTTTTTTAACTAAGATTGCATTGTGGTAAAGGACTTGATGATTATAATACTAGTAACAGTACTAATTGTGGAAACTACAGTGACTTCTGGGAACAGTTAAATAAATAATAAGCAAATCATCTCTCGGTATTATTGAAACTGTTTTGCCTTATGGATTTCCTGCAAGGATTTTTGGGGAACCCCAGATAACTATGCATTCTAAGTCATTTGCTCTAGAGCATTCTGGTAACAGCCAATATTTATGGGCTCTTCCTGTGTGCTAGGTCCTATTCTAAACAAAGTTACTTTAAATCTAAATTAAACATACTTTCAATTTCAATGAGAAATGTAAATGTGCCAAATTGGAAAAACTGGATAGGTTATCATGTTGTGAAAATATGTTTCAACAGAATACACTGAGTAAATGCTTTCAGTAACTTGAGATCTAAAGTATATACCTTTAAATGATATTTATTGGTAAACTATAATAAAGTCAACATTTCTGTGAGACTGTGAATAGAAATTTTCCCAGTTCTTAACACTAATTCCTCAAATTGGCAAAGGAACTAACCAAAGGTTTTAAAGAAAAGTATTCCTATTCTTGGTGGTATAGCAATGTTTGGAAGACTCAGTTCATCTCTTCAAGAAGTTCATATATGCTTAAAATAAAATCAGTTCCAGCTTTGCTATTTTTATTTGAGTTGCATAATACAAGTACAAGTAAATAAATTCCTGCATAATACAAATCACTAACTTTTTGGGGTATTAGAAAATTAAAGGAAGAATTTTAAAGTGAATAAAATGACCTCAGGTATGCGCTCATTAAAAGAAAACCCAGAGCTGGCTCAAATCCTAAACCATTAAAAGGCTGTTGGGTTAGACATTCCCTGTAGCAGTAGCTAGGTAAGTGGGCCTTTGGTGCCCATTTTTAGGCATCAGAAAGTAGAAACAGCTTTTCGATCCTACAGAGATGTCAGTGTGTTCTAGTCACACTAATCTTAGATGGTCTCATCAATAAACAAAAACCAACAAACGAGAAACTAGTTTCTATAGTCTTAGTTCTACATCATTTTACTACTTCATTAAATTTGGTTTCTGTATCTGTAAAATTTGATGGTAAAATCGACTTAATAATTTAGGATTATTCAGAGCTGGCTATATAGTATAATTCCAAGATAGCATGGCTAGAACTAGTTAATTTACAGGATCTTTTGGCCATCATAAAATAAGAATAAGATATAACAGAATAAGAATGTGCAAGGGTCTCAAACCAATTTCTAAGCTTTCCTGCATTACCAAGTTTCTTGTAATCTGGGATGAAAGAACATAGTATGTCATCAGTCATAATGACTGATGGAAAAGGCCCAGGGATTTGGCCTGTCAGAGTAAAAGTTGAAGGGTAATGACAATGCATTCTCTCACAGGTCAGCAGGGGGGCCACATCACCAGCCTTCTTGTCATCCAATAAGCTCCTATAGCTGAAGAAGAAATCTGTACCTGAACAAAGCATTCAAATGAAATTCATCCATGACAGCTATGACTCCTCATTTCCTCCCATTCATTTAATGTTTTGTTTTGATTTTCAGAACCACCTTCCTAGACCTCTGTAAAAAATTAACATATTGGTATATAAATAAATTAGGTTGGACACAATTCCAACGTGTGTGTGGATGCTTCCCCACACCAGCAAGCAATTCTTGGACACCAGCAGGGTGTCCAAGAATTCAACTCAATTCTGACCCTGTCTGCAGGAAGATAGAATCAGATTCCACTGGTAAAGGGCTCAGGCCCACAAGACCACGCTCAACTTCAGATACTACATGCCCAGGTCATTCCGATCAATACACTACAAAACAGAAGCTCTAGCAACATCCCTCTTGGGTTCGATTAATTTGATAGCCTGGCTCACAGAACTCAGGAAACCTGTTTACTCACTAGATTACCAGTTTATTCCAAAGGATATTAAATGACATGAATCAACACCTAGAGGAACACAGGATGGGGTCCGGAGAAAAGGAGCTTCTGTCCTTGTGGAGTTTGGGGCCCAGCAGGCGGTAAGTGCAAGAGCTCCGGTACACTGACTTGGAGGAAGTCCGCCTCCAGCTCTTCCCATTTGAATTTTCATGGAGGCTTCATTACAAAGGCATAACTGATTACTGGCCATTGGTGAGTTACTTAATTAACTTCCAGCTCCTCTCCCCTCCCTGGCAATCATGGAATGGGACTCAAAGATCCAATCCTCTATTCGTAGTTGGTTCCTCCGATAACCAGCTCCCAGAGTTAGGTGCTTTCCAAAAGTCAATTTATTAACAAAAACCTTGTTGTGGTGGAAAGAGGCTAGTTATGAATAACAAAGACACCCAATTTCACCTTTTATGGCTCTGAAACATTTTCATGAGCTGAGGACAAGAGACCAAATACTTTAAAAAAAAGATGCTCCCATTGTACTTTTTACTCAGGAAATTCCAAGGGGTTTGGGAGTTATGAGCCAGAAGTGTGGATTAGGACCAAATATAATGAGAAATCTATTTTGGTCATCATCTGAATGAATAAATATATACATTTCTTATAAATCACAACATTGTAAGAAATAAACTTAAAATTTTTAGCCTGTACTTTGCAAACATATCCTGATGTGTTTATCACTGTCACAAAATCAACTCATTTTAAAATATAATTGAATCAACTGTCACTATGATTGAATCACATAATTCCTCATGCAATTCAGAGCATTACAGAGTGTAATGACACAGGAACTTTAAGAAAAGTGGTTATGTTACCAACAAATGAGAAAAGATGGGCAAGGTTTTCCTCCATGAAATGCAAAGCAAGTATTAAGGGATACAGTTCAAACTATACATTTGCATTGTGACATGACATGTGGAAAGCTGGTAAATGCTCACATAATCAGGACCGGTGTACCAAGAATCTCTGGGTGCCTGAGTCAATAGAAGGGGTGGTGAGGTAAAGCGTAAGGAACATAAAGCCATAGTTAATGTTTCCATTTTAATTGTAAACAAAAAAAATTAACAAATATAAAATGCTTAGCTGGAGACATGCAAGAGGAAACAACTGGCAATTTGTTTTTTTGCACCTGCAAGAGTTACAGTAGTCCCCCCCTTACAAGGGCCTATGTGCTAAGACCCCCAGTGGATGCCTGAAACCACAGACAGTACCAGACCCTATATATACTATATTTTTTCCTATACATACACACCTTTGATAAAGTTTAATTCATAACTTGGGCACAGTAAGAGATTAACAACAATAATAATATAATGATAAAATAGAACAATTACAACAATATACTGTAATAAAAGTTATGTGAATGTGGTCTTTCTCTTCCAAAATATCTTAATGTTCTGTACTTACTCTTCCTGTGATGCAGTGAAATGATGTAACAGCTACTCGTGATGAGATGAAGTGAGGTGGATGACGTACGCATTGGGACACAGCATTAGGCTACCATTGACCTTCTGACAATACCTTGGAAGGAGGATCACCTGCTTCCAGACCATGGTTGACCTCAGGAAACTGAAACCTTGGAAAACAAAACAGGAGGCTACTGTTGCGGAAAATAAACACACAGTTGAGGGATACTAATGGGGGAAGGGCTTCACTCACGCCACTCTGTGCGCCAGTGGGAACCAGGAAGCTTGGTGTGTGCATTCTGCTGTCATGCCTAGGATCTGGACACTGTTCTCACCTGCTACAGCCTCCCAAGATGACTGTGACTCAATCTGGGCAACTCGTGTTTAAGAGGATGTAGAAAGGAAGCTAATTACATACTCTCTTTTGCATTAATAAACATAGCTCTGACCCGTTCACAACCTACTCTGACTATGGAAGCAGTTTTCATTATCTTGGTTATCTTACTCCTCAAGAGGGTCAGGCGATCTGGACCCAGGGAGGCAGATTAATATGACTTATGAACCTTTGACCGAGGGGTTAATGCTTCCAAAGGAAAGGAATCTGTAAATATGGAACACATTTTTTTGGTTTGGTTTGGTTTAACCTAACTTTGCATCCAATAATTCACCCATATACACACAGCCAACATAAGTAATAGATATTTTCTATCTATTCCTATACATAAGATAATAAAGACAGTGGAAGTGTAAATATTAGGTGTTTAGCAACATTTCAATGATGAGTTGATTCATTATATGATGTCAAAGAAGACTCACATAATGAGCAATTTCTGTTCACCCTGCTGGAACCATAGTTACTTCACAGCATTTATAGTGTACTAAAAATCTCCATTGTTAGGAGTATTCAATTGGATACTGGATAAATAACAGCAACTAGGGGTTAAGGGGAGTAGGTAATCAAGAGGCAGCAGTATGAATAACCTTGTATGCCCTTCAGAAAATGCGTAAGAACCGTGTCCTGCCTTGAAGCGGCATAGTTCATTAGGTTTCTGAATACCCTCTTCAGTCATCTCAAGCTTGTCCATGGTTAAAGAGTAACAACATGATTATTTCCTTTTCCCCAAGGGAATTACCAGATTGCCATATCCTGTTATGGGGACCCAGGCCTCTGACACACATACTGAATCATAAAACCTCACTCAGAATAATTATCCTACGTGCGGCCCCATTGTTCTGAGGGGGTCTCCAGTGAACTTCCACAAGTACTTCGGTTTACAGACTGTTTTGAGAAAATGTGACTTGTTAGTTTCCAGGTACATTTTCTAACTCACCAAGATATCAGTGAGTTTTGATATTCATAGTTGATACCATGGTTTAGTCAATATCATCTCAGAAGAACCAAACGCAAACTGAGTTGTATTCCAGGGAATAATGACAAACAGGGAAACGAGCACAAGTGTCCAGTTTGAAGCTCAGGTGTTTGTCTTAAGGATCTCCACCCTCTCCATTATTATTCCCTCTCCTTCAATAGTACCCACTCTTCCTTCCGTTGCCTACTGGGACCACATTTTCTAATCTCCAGAAGAAAAAAGAATAACCCTGAAAGTAAGTAAATAAGGACAAGCACTCATTCGCATCAACCTCTTCACTCCTACAAGTGATCCGTTTAACATACAGACGGCCCCCTTTTTAAGAAGCAGTTTAAGGTAATACAAAGCAGAAATGCAAAAGAACTGGGATAAAAGTCAAAGACTCACCAAAGTTTTATCTGAGCCAATGCCTTCCTCTTCTCGATGTGCACCTGCTCTCTCTTCTGCCCCAAGGACTTCAGATTCCAGGAATCCAAAATCTCTCATTTCAAAACATTCCCATCCCTGAGCTATGAGCCCCTGAATCACCATCCTTTCTCATGTCCAGACTACGGTATTTCATTTGAGAAGTAGTTAGGAGCTGCACCAGGTGCTAGCAGTAAGAGTAAAGAAATGGCTAACACAGGGCACCTGACTTTAACTGCATGCTTTTATTCCTTAGAAAAATGTTGCCCCTACCCAACCAGTTAGACACTCAGAACAGCAGCTTCTCCCTAAGGGTGAGGAGAGTTAGTTCAAAGAAATAGAAATATTACTTTCAAAATTCCCATCAGTGAGGGTGGCTTATAGCAATGTGAGCAGAGGCTGAAAGCTAACAGAAGAGACATTTCTCAGCATTACTGATCAGGAATGTCTGGCCTCACATTTCTGAATCGGGAAATATTCCTGAAGACTCTTAGAAAATTCTAAGTAAGTCAATAGCTATGGTCTTGGCCACTTGCTATATGACAATTCTTTCACAAAGACGATTACAGATTGCCAGTGGTTGCTCTAATATTTCTGTTAAAGAAGAGAAGCAGCCTGCCTGTCAGACCTCTAAACATGAAAGAAAACCTTTGTTTAGAAAAGAAAAACTTTCCAACAAAGAAAGCAATCTTATAGGCAGAGAGCTAAGGAACCAATATGGGTGATGTTTGGTAATTATTCTTAATTTTATCTTAGGTAATATATAAAAAAGACAATGGTGAAAAATCTTTTTGATAGCTTTTCTTGGAGTTCTTAATATTTTCTTATTTTAAAAAAAAGCAAATTCCCTTTGAATTCAAAAAAGATAAGGGGGTCTCTCCAGACCTGTCACCAAATATTCCATTAAAATGCAGATTTAGAATGCATAAGAAGTTAAGTGTTCTTTAGATTTACTAGGCCAAGAAAAGAATCAAAAGAAAATACATCGTCAGTATCTTTTGACATTTGCACTTAAGGTTATGGAGGTATTTTTAGGAATTTCTTGTGTGTGTTCCCTGTTTTGCCTAAAATAACTTCCTCTCCATTCAGTTTTTTTATTACATTGGTAGCATAATAAAAGGAAGAAAACATATTGATTGAATATGTGGATCTAGCCTCATTGGTTACTGATCACTGATACATTTTTAATTAACTTAAACTTTGCAGATTTAAATGTTTTCGTTTGTTGTACCAGCCATGTTTCATAATTGTTTCTCATTTATTTATATTCCCTTTTATTTTATACCATTATTCAACAGTGGGCTTGTTCAGACTCCACAAAAACAACAAAGAACAAATTGTAATAAATATGTTAAATAGAATTTTTAAAAATGAATTTTATATGTATTCATTTTTGTATTAAAATATAACATTTGGTATTTTTTACCCCAAATTTTGCTTTGGTTATCTCAAATATAAGCATCAAATATATATTTATTACATATATATGCAATGTACATATTTATGTATTTATAAACTATAATTTTAAATATATGTGATTTTTGTAGCATTTAATAGAATCACCTTACATCTTACAAAAATAATATATTTAAAAATACTAATTAAATAAAGTTAATTTAATAATCTTCCAGGACTGGAGTATTCAGGCAACTACAATAAGAATAAAGTATCTTTCCAAATCTCTAAAAGACCAAAATCAATACAATAGGACTCAGGAGTTCATTCTTTGCTGTCAGTTTCTAATTTTACCTTGAAACAGAGAATGTCTGCTTTAAGTCAGAGTTAAAGAGGGAAGGGATTTGTAAGACAGAGGACGGTAAGACACTTGGTCAAAAGTTTACCACACTAAAGTTGTAAAGCTGTCCACATAGATAATGCCCATCAAAATACCATCAGTCAAAAAAGTACAAGTTAATTGTCATTGAGTAGATGAAATCTTGTCTGCCAGGGGCAAGAAAAACATGAGATATATCATTTAAAAAATATTTTTAAACTGAACATGATAAGGGTGATAACATTCTCAGACTGGTCAGATTGGAACCAGTGGTATGAACCCAGGAATGTGAAGTCTGCAATTCCAAAACCAATACGGAGACAAGCCAGAGCATATAAATGAGGACTAAGGGAACACAACAGTGCATCTTATATGCACAATAAATATTGCACATTTCCTCCAGTCTGTCCTCAAAGCAATAACTTGATTACAGTGGCAGCAACTACAGTGAGCTAGCCTTTTCATGCTTTGACATCTGACAAAGACTTGCAGGTACAGTGATCAAAACCTGGCATGATGATATGCATTGCTATGCTTTGAATACTATGCGATATTGTTACTTAATATTGCAATCATGATTGTCCTGTAATTTAAATCATATTCTTCATCAGTCACATGCTATTTATAGAATATCTATACATGTATGCATCATGCTAAAGTATTGTAAGTTTATAAGACGACCACATCCTTTGCTTGCATAGTAACATGAAGATACATCAAATAAGAATATTTGTGATTTTTTACAAAGGGCAAAACTGGAATTAAAGTAATAAGCATTGTCTTCATTTTACTATCTTTCACATGTGATATTTTCTAAGTATGAGAAAGAAAAATGTGGGCAGAAAAGTTGAACAAGGGTCTATGAGTAGACAAATAACTTGATTCACACAGTGATTGTAAATCAGTTCAGGAAAGGAGGGAAAGAGGGAGAGAGAAGGAGGTAATGAAAAAGGAAGGGGAGTAGGGAAAAGGGGAGTGGGACAATTCAGAAACAATCAACGGGGATCTTTTTTAAACAGGGCAATAACTTCTTAATACTATAAATTTATAGTACTAATAATGTTTTAATACTATGAATAAATAAAAATGTATTATTTACTCAATGGCTAAGGTAAACTTCATGAACTGAGAAAGGATTAGGCAATCCCTGAAGTTTCCAGCTCAGTAATCACTGGTATCACTTAGCATTATTTTAATCATGTAACAAGAATGTAATCAATGATTCCAGATTCATATTTTTAATTTACTCCACTTTGTATTCTATTTCATCCTTCTTCTAACAGTTGAACACGTTCCTCATGTCACTGATGCAGAGTTAAACTATAGTCCAAGTGCACAGAACCTCATTACCTTAACAGACATTTCTATCATTATCAAATCAGTTAAGGACACAGAAACAGAGGGTAAGAACATGGATCTCTGACTGTGACTTCCCTTCATACTCTCCAATCTGCTCAGAATGTCCTGTATTTCTTAAATGGGAAACATGTGTCACCCCAAATTATCTACAAGGTCATACTTGAGAAATGTTTGTACAGAGCGTATCTGCATTTGTTTTATTGAGTTATCAGTGAGAATGATCTGGAACTGGAGATCCTTGAATACTGAAATCTGTACATGAAAAAATGATTAGAAGACTTGTTAAGAATGTTCTAAACAAGAAAGGAAAGCCCTGATTTGAGGCCAGATTACCTGAGCAGCTCCCCTTCAGTCGCCTGAGCCTCTCCTTACGTTTTCCCCTCCATGAGACCCAAGTGATCTGGCTTCTGCACAACCCAGTAGATCCTTTTTACCACCAGGTGGTCAAACACCCCCTATTAGGAAATTATCTGATTCATATAGTCACAGTACGTGTAATAGAAGGATTAGGTTTTATTAATTACCATTCCTAGAAGTATTTGCATCAAGAAATATAAGTTTTAGCATAAAGCACTGGAATACTAATACAGTGAAATTTCAAGCACTGTTTAGGTGAAACGGCTTGGGAACTGCAGGAGCAATGTCAGAGTGGAAGAATACTAAATACTGGCTCCAGTGCCCTGCACAGAGACGACTTCTGACACATGAATACAGGACCCCTGTTCTTCGAATCACATTCTTCCTAATTATCAAAAAAACCAACTGCATGATGCCATGGAAAGAGCTTTGGATTAAAAGTGAAGAGACCTGACATACAGTTCTAGTTCTCTTACCTTATCTGTATGATCCAGGCCAAATTATTCATTCCTTCATTCCATAGCACTGTTTGAGCTATTAAAAAAACAAACACATAACTCTAGAAATTGAGGCAGTGTATGCAGTATAAAAATAAAAGGACCCGTCCAACATAGCAAATACTAAAGTTTAATAGTACACTATGTTAGTACCTCTTGCCTGAATCAAAATTTTGGCTTCTGAGACTAACCTTGTAAAATTTCCTACTGTCAAACACTTTGAAGAGTTCCACCTGTAAATCCAAAAGTCATCATTCAAAATTGGTTCTGATTTCCTACTCAACCTCCCTCCCACAGCAGCTCCGGGCTGCTAAGGAACTGTTTGAAAGGGACTACTCCTCTTTCCAGGGGACTGAGAATCTAACAAAGATGAATAAGGTAAGTAAATATTTACTGCTGTTTTGGAAACCAGAAGGCAAACTGAACCTGGTGAGTGGGCCGACTTAGCACGAGCATGTTAACGTGATACAACTGTTAAGGTTCCTGAAATACCTGACCTATTGAGTTTTCTGTTTTCCTTTATTTGAGGAATTCTAAATTTTTACTCAGGGGTTTGTTGCCTATTTACGATGACATAATTTCTTTAGCAAATAATGACAACCTTTGCTTTGCTACTCCATAAAAAGCTTATAAGGGAAAAAGTGTAGAAAACCACAAATATATAGAAACATACCTGACCTAAGCACAGACTTATAAATATCACTGAAGCTCTGGGGTGCATCATAAGAATGCCTGATGATCAGAAAAGGAAAGAGTCAGGCTGGGAATAGAAGCTGAAGAAGTTGTTTGCTGCTGTGGCAGAAGTGACTGAGCAAAGGAAAAGATTGACCAGGCTTTATGAAGGAACTGGATACTATTTTAGGATATTTTAATTTTTTTTTCTTACATCCTCACAGGGAAGCCCAGGAAATTTATTATAACTTCATAAAGGATTACAGTTAATCTTACATTTAATTTTGAGCATATAATTACTCATTGTAATAAGCAGGGCTTTTGTTTTTCTCTTTGTAAGATTTAGTCGACTAGCAGTGTTTCCCCTCATTAACTTTATCTAAATTGGTATCTAAAATTCCAATCTCAAGACCAATGTATCTAAATGTCTACTTGACATCTCCACTTCTATGTCTTACAGATATCTCAGACTCAATCTGATCAGCAAGTGAAACCATAACCTTTGTTTTATTCCTGATCCTCTCCTGAT